GATAATTTAGATGAAATGGAGCTATTTCTACCAATACACAAACTACTGAAACTTACTCAAGAAGACATAGACGATCTGAACAGAGTTATAAGAAGTGAAAAAATTGAGTTAGTAATCAAAACACTACCCACAAAGAAAAGCCCACACCCAGATGGCTTCACTGCTAAATTCTAGCAGATATATAAAAAAGAATTAATACTAGTTCTTCACAAGCTCTTCCAAAAAGCAGAAGAGGAAGGAATACTTCTCAACTCATTTTAGGAGGCCAATATTACACTGATGCTAAAGCCAGAAGAGGACATTACAATAAAAGAAAACTATAGACCAATAAATATCATGCATAAGAATGCAAATACCCTCAAAAATACTAGAAAATCAAATTGAAAAACATATTTTAAAAATTATGTACCATGATCAAGTAGTATTTATATCAGGAATGCAAGTTTAACTCAACATTCAGAAGTCAATTAATGTAATATATCAATAGAATAAAAGCACATGATCACCCTAAAGATGCAGAAAAAGCATTTGACCAAATCATAAGGAATGCATTAAAAAAAATTGGGAATTCCCTGGCTCTCCAGTGGTTAGAACTCAGTGCTTTCACTGCTGCCAGGCTCCAGGTTCTGTGCCTGGTTGGCGATCTAAGATCCAGGAAGCCACACAGTGCAGTCAAAATAAAAAGATTGAAAAATTCAATGAAGAATCCAAAAATGAAAAATTAAGAAAGAAGATAACTTAACTGAAGAAGTTCAAGACTTGTAAACTGAAAATTACAAATCTTTGTTGAAAAAAATTAAAAATACCTGAATATATAGAAAGATATACTATGTTCAAGCATTGGAAGACTTAATTTCATTATGATGGCAGTATTCCCCAAATTGATCTATAGATTTAATGAAACCTCAATCAATATCACAGCTGCCTTATATGCAGTAACTGACATGCAGATGTTAAAATTCATATGGAATTGAAAGGGGCCCCAAAATAGCCAAAAACAATCTTGGGAAAAAAGGAACACAGTAGGAGGCTTTTGCTTCCCAATTTCTGAACTGACTAGAAAGCTACAACAATCAAGACAATGCGGTACTGGCAGAAGACTAGACACTAGACATAGAACCATGGAATAAAATTGAGAGTCCAAAAAAAACCAGTCTTTGGTCAATTGACTTTCAACAAGGGTGTCAAAATCATTCAGTGGGGAAAGAATAGTCTCTCCAACAAATGGTGCTTGAACAACTATATATCCACATACAAAAGAATGCAGCTGGACCCCTACTTTATAGCATATATAAAAATTAGCATAAAATGAAATATAGACCTAAATGTATGAGCTAAAACTACAAAACTCTTCGAAGAATGCATAGGAGTAAATCTTCATGTACTTGAATTTGGCAAAGCATTCTTAGACTTGACATCAGAAGCACAAGCAACAAAAGAAAAATAGAAAATCTTCATCAAAATTTAAAACTGCACTTCAAAGGGCACCCTTAAGAAAATTCAAAAAAGGACACACAAAATGGAAGCAGATATTTACAAATCAGATATCTGATAAGGGACTTGTACCTACAATATGTAAAGAGCTCTTATAACTCAATAATAAAAAGACAAATAATCCAGTTTTAAAATGGGTAAATGGAATTCCCTGGCAGTCCAGTGGTTAGGACAACACACTCTCACTGCCATGGTCCAAGGTTCAATCCCTGGTGGGGAAATAAGATACCACAAGCTACTCGCTCACCACTTGGCATGGCCAAAGAAAAGAAAAGAAAAAGAAAGAAAAGGCAAAGGATCTGAGTCTACATTTCTCCAAGCCAGATATGCACATGGCCAATAAGAATGTGAAAATATGCACATTGTCATTAGTCATCAGGGAAATGTAAATGAAAGCCACAATGAAATACCACTTCATACTCACTAGGATGTCTAGAATCAAAAAGTCGGAAAATAAAGTATTGGAAGATATAGAGAAATCAGAATCCTCATGCATTGCTGGTAGGAATGTAAAATGGTGCCGCTGCTGTGGAAAGCATTCTAGCATTTCTTCAGAGGATTTAGCATAGAGTTACTATAGGTCACAGGAATTCTGCTTCTAGGTTTAAATCCAAAAGAGTTCAAGGCATGTGTTTTAACAAAAACTTGTACATGAGTGTTCATAGCAGCATTATCCATAATAGTCAAAAGGAGGAAACAACCCAAATGTCCATCAACAGATGAATGGACAAACAACAAAATATGGTATGTCATACAATGGAATATTATTCAGTTATAAAAAGGAACAAAGTCTTGATACATGTTACAATGTGGATGAACTCAAAAACATTATAAGTGAAAGAAGTAAGTTACAGAAGTTCATATATTGTATGATTCCATTTATTTGTAATTACATCAGATTGGAAAGAATTCATAAAGAATATCACATATGATGCTTGAAGTAATGCCAAAGAAATGGTCTTTTCAAGCCTCACTGTTAGGGCTTTTAACTGCTATAAACTTGTCGCTGAAACTTGGTCTCTGTTCACCGGTGCCAAATAGGAACAGGGAGACAGAGTTTTGGGTGAAGTAGAAAAGAATAGTTTTTTTATTGCTTTGCCAGGCAAAGGGTGCCACAATGGGCTAATGCCCTGAAGACCCTGTGACCAGCCTGGAGGGGGTAGTAAGGAGTTCTATAGTGTTCAAGGAGCAGGGTATGATCATCTTGTGGACAGTTCTTGGATTGGTTGGCATCAAGGTGACATTTCCAGCATTATCAACCTTCTGGTTTCAGCCAGCCTAGGGTCTGTGTTCTTGCGGTCAGCAGTTTTCAACTGATGCGGTGGGGGGAGGGAGGTGTCTGCTTCCTCTAAGAACAACTTGGGAATATGTATCAGGCCTTTATTTATATCCTTCAGGGAACTGGGAGTTTGGGTGATTCTGTTATGTGGCAGAATTATAGTCCAGTTCCTTAGCCCAACAGCTATTCTTTGTTTCTAAATCTTCACATTTTCCAATCATTGACTCAAGTCAGAATTTTACTTCAAAAGACAAGGCCATAGAGGCCTGAACACAGTTTCAAACTTTGTACTGGTTTTGTCAGGAGTAAAGTTAATGATTTTAGTACATCATATTCAAAGACTACAAGATGTTCACTCTGCAATTTATAGTCTTGGGAGAGCCAGACACCCCACTGTACCCATCCCACTGTGGCAGGATTTATTTTTATTAAAGTAAATTCTGAGAGTTTTCCTAAAAAAAAGAAAGAAAAAAGAAATGGTCTTTTCAAACTTTGCCAACTAGAAGTTAAATTACTAAGTATGTTTGCAAAGTATAATGCCTATATCTATAACATTTAAAATATTCATACTCTTTGACTTTCAGGTTCTTCTTTTTAAAACGCTATTTCATAGAAATAGCATATATGTTGTTTATCCATTTATCTGTTGGTGGACATTTGGGTTGTTTTGCAGCATTGTTACGGCAATAGGAAACTGAGTTGGAAATAAAGAGATGTCTATGATTCTTTATTAATTGAAAAAAGCAAATGTCAGAGTAGCGGTCCAGTTTGATCAAATTTGTGTAAAATCAAACAGTAATAAATGTGTATATGGATATAGTTTATAGAAATTCGTGTGGAAGAATATATAGCAAACTTCATATTTCTTTTCTGTATTTTTGTATTGTTTCATTAGTTTTAATAAAGAGGTGTTACTTTCGCTATCTGAAAGATAGAGAAAAATTTTAATTAAGTAAAGGAGGTGGGTGGAAGAAAGGAAGTTGTTGTTCAGTGGCTAAATCGTGTCCAACTCTTTGTGACCCCATGGGCTGCAGCACACCAAGCTTCATTGTCCTTCACTATTTCCTGGTGTTTGCTCAAACCGTTGAGTCGGTGATGCCATCCAACCATCTCATCCTCTGCCATCCCCTTCTCCTCCTGCCTTCAATCTTTCCCAGCATCAGGGTCTTTTCCAATAAGTCAGTTCTTTGCATCAGGTGGCCAAAGTATTGGAGCTTCAACCTCTGCATTAGTCCTTCCAATGTATATTCAGGGTTGATTTCCTTAGGATTGACTGGTTTGATCTATTTCCAGTCCAAGGGACTAAAGAGTCTTCTCCAACACCACAGTTCAAAAGTGTCAGTTCTTCGGTGCTCAGCCTTCTTTAGGGTACAACTCTCACATTCATAGGTGACTACTGGAAAAACCATAGCTTTGACTATAGGTACCTTTGTTCGCAAAGTGATGTCTCTGCTTTTTAACAGGCTGCCTTGATTTGTCATAGCTTTTCTTCTAAGGCTTCCCTAGTGGCTCAGACGGTAAAGAATCCTCCTGCCAATGCAGGAGATCAATGGTTCAGGAAGACCCCCTGGAGAAGGGAATGGCAATCCACTCCAGTATTCTTGCCTGGAGAATCCCATGGACAGAGGAGCCTGGGGGATTACCACCCATGGGGTCGCAAAGAGTCTGACACGACTGAGTGAGTAACACTGTCTTCTCCCAAGGACCAAGCGTCTTATAATTTCCTGGCTGCAGTCACCATTGCCTTTGATTTTGGAGCCCAAGAAAAGAGTCTGTCACTGTTTCCATTTTCCCCCCATCCGTTTGCCAGGAAGTGATGAGACCGGATGCCGTGCTCTTAGATTTTTGAATGCTGACTTTTAAGCCAGAAAGCCAGGGAACTAGCTTCCCCCACCCCCAGACCCCCGGCCATTTCCGTGTGCGCTGCTCTTACAGACAATGCGGTGCTGGGCGTCGCCTCTACCTGGAGGATTACAGTAAGCCTGTTGTCAGTGATGAGTCAGAGTGCGTGGTGCTGATGCTGCTGCCATTTCATCACCTCCGCGAGCGCAGCATCCATCCCTCGGTCCTCCCCGCGCCTGGGCCTACCTGGCCTCAGGCTCCCAGGCCAACGATGCCGTCGTGGCCGATCTAGATCAGGACCAAGCCGCGCTCTCCGAGGCCCTGGCCTGGCGCCCCCATCTCGCCGCCCGCGGCCCGGGCCAAGGAGACCTACCGAGCCTCGGCCATGGAGGCCATCTGGCTGTATCAGTTCCGGCTGATTGTCATCGGGGATTCCACGGTGGGCAAGTCGTGTCTGATCCGCCGCTTCACCGAGGGCCGCTTTGCCCAGGTTTCAGACCCGACGGTGGGGGTGGATTTCTTCTCCCGTCTGGTGGAGATCGAACCCGGAAAACGCATCAAGCTCCAGATCTGGGATACCGCGGGTCAAGAGAGGTTCAGGTGGGAGCGCAGACTCGGCCCGTGAGCAGTGGGAGGGTCTTCTGGGTTTTCCCGATCCCCGGGGGAAGAGGACTTCCTGGTCCCGGTCGCCGCCCTTAGCGAAGGTAGTGAGGCTCTGAGAGTTTCTGCTCAAGCCCACCTTCAACTAGCTGGGAATTCAGTACAGGGAAAGATGCATCCTGGCAGTCAATAATACATATTGCTCGTACCACAACTCCACCAACTTGCCCCCTTGGTGGTTAATCAACTCGCTGGAGTTGATCACTGTCATTCATCAATTTCAGTCCCTATGCTACATTTCAAAAAATGTTCCCAGGTCATCCTAATGTAGGATGACAGATCTAGATAGGTGATGCAGAGATAAAGATATAGACAGAAATATAAATATTAGATAGAAATAGAGATGTATGTGATGATTGAATCTTTTTTGCAACTAGCACGCATGCAATGATCATTCACTCTGCCAGACACTGCACGTATGGCTGGGGAAACAGCTGGAGGAAACTCCTGCAAGGGGATGCCATGTAAACAAAATAGACACAGGCATTGCCCTCCTACAATGTCTCTGCTAGCATAGAGGAGGGGGGCCTAGGTCAGTAATTACACAAAAGAGTGCCTTGTTCATATTTGTAGGCTCACCGCCTACGATAACACTTAGCACTTATTGAGTGATCAATAAACAGGTGGAATTTTCTCTTCCAACCCTTTGCTTCACTTGTAGTATGTATCACTCGTAATTACATGTATGGACACAGATGAGGGAAGGCTTACTGGAGACAATGACACCTGATGAGTGTGAGGAAACTGCATGTATGATGACAAAAGTCAGAGCAGCATACAGAAAACTTTGAGCTACAGTCATGCAGAGCGCTGAAACTCAATCAAGATGCCTCAATAATCATTATTTATCTAGTGAACACGAATCAAGCATAGAAGATATTTGTTAGCTGGTTGAAGAGGGGTGGGGAGTAGAGAAAATTTAGACTTGTCTCCACTTCCCCACTTCTGCAAACAAAAATCCTTGTCCAGGTTCCCTTTGAACTTGTGATTTCATGTTTCATATTATAAGCGAAAAAAGGTATCTTTTGTGTTTGTCTCAATTTCTTTCTGTGTGAACAGCCTTTTCATATCCACTGATTATTATTTATTGGATGATAGTGACTTCTAAGGGTTCTTTATATATTAAGAATATTAATTCCTTTATGTCATGGATGTTGTAAAGAGTTTTTCCAGTTTTTCATTTGTCTTTTAACTTTGTTTACATTAAGAATATTTTTTGCTGTTTTGTTCTTACCATCATCTAGCTAGGACTTCATTCCCTGGACAATGTTTGTTCTGTTATTACTGGGCCATTTGTCCTAAGGCTTAAGCTATTGAGTCCCTCATTGTTTATGTTCTTCATCCAGGGAGAAAGAAAAATTTAAAATAGACATAAGTCAAAAAGCATGGTAGTCTAAGGGAAGTGACTGGATAAGCAAATAGTTCTATAATGTCTAAGACACCCTGAGAAAAGTACCATAATGCACACTGAAAATGAAGCTTCTCAAATCAAGAAGCAAAAATATATGTGGTTTCTTCTGTTTCAAAAGTAAAGAAAATGTATAATAGGTTTTAGAAACATTCTGATTACAATGCTTTAAATAAATCATATCATTTTAAGGGGAAGCTTTGTCTATTTAGGTAGTTTTTCCCACCTGGGCTCCTGAGTCAGCCTCTCTGAAGTGGGGCAGACAGACACTTGGCTCAAGTTCTTTTCAGACAATCCCTCTTTTTCCTATTCCCACATGGCCTGAAAAGTAAAAAAAAAAAAAAAAAAAAAATCGTGTTCCTCCTCACAGAAGAGATTGAAGACCTCTGTTTGATGAAAATAAAAAGGTAACAGAGAAATATGGTAATAATAGAGCACTTTTGTGATATATACTTGTTTTTCCTGTCAACTATCAGAAATTCATTTTTCTTTTTTAGAAAATCCTATGCCAACTATGATCATTTGTAATGAGCTCTCCAGGTGACAGAATACTTAATACATTATTTCATTTGCTTCATGATAACTTTTTACTTAGATATCCCACTTAGCAGAAGAGGAAGCCTCATTCAGCTCTTCAGTGGCAAGAATGGACAGGTTAACTATGGTTCGACCTAAGTTGAGGGAAAGTGCTTGTATGCCCATGAGCTTCCATTTCTAGAAGATACCACCTCAAAGTTTAGTTCAATTGAAAAGTATAGCTCAGTTGCAAATTCATGTATCATTATTATGATGGAATGATGTTTGTATTCCTTTGTTACAAAGAGAAAAGCATTTTCACCGAAGGACTCTGTCGCTAACTAGAGACCACTGTTTGAATTCACTGAAGTACAGCAGTTTGGGCTTGGCATTCAATCTTGACTTCTCTCTTGTGTTCTAGATCCATCACTCGTGCCTACTACAGGAACTCAGTAGGTGGTCTTCTCTTATTTGACATTACCAACCGCAGGTCTTTCCAGAATGTCCACGAGTGGTTAGAAGAGACCAAAGTACACGTCCAGCCCTACCAAATTGTATTCGTTCTTGTGGGTCACAAGTGTGACCTGGATACACAGAGGCAAGTGACTCGCCACGAGGCTGAGAAACTGGCTGCTGCATATGGCATGAAGTACATTGAAACGTCAGCCCGAGATGCCATTAACGTGGAGAAGGCCTTCACAGACCTGACGAGAGACATATATGAGCTGGTGAAAAGGGGGGATATTACTATCCAGGAGGGCTGGGAAGGGGTGAAGAGTGGATTTGTCCCCAACGTGGTTCACTCTTCAGAAGAGGTAGTCAAATCAGAGAGAAGATGTTTGTGCTAGTCAGCCCTTGTGTCTCCAAAACCTGCTGTCCCACCTGGACTTCCAGCTGATCAAAATGATAGAATCATCGTGTGACTCAAGAGAACTTAAACCTCTATATTGGATACCAAGTGAGCCTCCTCCCCAAGGGCCCTCGGACAGGTGATGAGTGGGTGGGTGGTGGAACCTGGGGGCTGGAACTGGCCCTGTTTTGTAGCCCAAGCTGCACACTGGCTGCTCTGTATGCCCTTTGTAGACCGTATGTCAAGAAGCTGAGGTCCAGGGAACCAGGCCCCCCAGGAAAGTACACCCACAGTTAGGACAACTATTTCTTGGTGTTGCATAGGTCATGATCATAATAAAATATGTCAAAAGGAGTAAAGTATCACATCGGGAACAATGATCAAGCCTACAAAAACGAGTGATATCGACCCAACCAATGAGAATATCCTGCACTAAATGTATGTGTGGGGTTTGGTTAAAAGGTACCAATTAGCTCTCTACAGCTCATCTGTAAAATGAGGGATATGGGCCAGTCTTTTCATAAGACCCATTCAAGGCCTGGTGTTCTGGTAAAAAAAATGGTGTGAATGTCAAGAGGGAGTCAATTTATACACTGTTATTATCACATTCAAAAAAAATGTACAGTCTTGGGCAAGAATAACCAGCGTGTTTAAGAAATTTTCCCATGCAAATTATCATGGAATTAGAAGAGAGAAATACTATTAACGCCAATGCCATCCCCCTTTTGCTTCTGACCACACCTGGGGTTTCACTGCTTTGGCGACTATGATCTGAATGTAAACACCTGCTTAGGAGGGGTTGTCACACTTACAGACATTATGGTTCACTGAATGACCTGTTTGATCATTGTAAGAGGCCATGAGGTTTTCTTCCCCAGTTTCCAAAAAAATTACCTGAGAGGCAGAGGAGAGTCACTAGGCCAAAGTGAAGGTCTTCTGACTCCTGATTCTTACTTTACTGCATCATCCTGCTGTCCGATGAATAAACTGTTATTGTTTACTTTGGAAGAGATATGACTGCAAATAAATATTCTCTACATGTTAGGATATGTTTCCTTATTGATTATAACTCAGCTCTAACCCTGAGGAAACCTGGGCATAAGTCAAAGGTAAAGCCTATTCAGGTATTATCGAAAAGAGGATTTTACACAAGTGAATAATTGCACAGTGAACACATGTTAGAACTGTTTGGGTTATAAGTGTTCTTATCACTGAAATGCAGTGGATATATTATTGAAAGGAGCTAAATACAGCAACGGGGAATGGGATGGGGGTAAATACTCACTTCACAATGACCTTGGCTCCTTGTTTGCCATATGCCTACACTGGGTTTCTATCTACCCTACAAAGTTAACTCTTAATTCTCAGGTGAAAAGACAGCTAACTAGTTGCATCAGAAACTTGAAATGGTTGCCTTGTGGTTCCATTATCTTCTTGAAGAGAGGTGATGCTTTAAATGATTTTTTGATTGTAGCCAGTTCAGCTAGGCAAAAGCCATACTTTTAGTAGTAAAAAAAAAATTCTGATTAGAGTCAGGTTTCTCATTTCCATTGTGATAGGAACACCTGAGGATGGTAAATTGCTTTGAAATATGGTGTTGAATTTCAGAATGGATGTAACTGAATCTGAAATTTGAAGGATTTACTTCAGCCAGAATAAAGCAGCAAAATTGTGAAAATTATGGAAACAAACCACCTTGGACCTACCTGCAGCATCTACTACAAGTGACCCAATCATCATCTCTTCCTTGGTTTAGCATGACCTAGCTTGGGTGGAGTAACTAAGTTGCCAGATTTGTGGTTGTAGAAGACAAATAAAAGATAGTAAATTGGGCTAACACAAAATTTCATCAACTACTATACTTAATTATGTTTAGAAGATTCTGAAAGCAAGATTATCCAGTGGATAGATGAGAGTTGACTGGATTCTGTCAGTTCAAGAAAAAAAAGATAGAAACAAAACTCTCTATCGTTTTCTTGACTTAAATACATCATATGTATATTTTTCTCATTCTTTGCATTTTTAGGCAGGTTTAAAAATACTCATCATAGATTCAGCAGAAGTGGCTGGGCTTAACTGCTTAAACAAGTTCTAGAACTTTAAAACTCATTTTAGAATTCAGTGCTGTTGTCACTGCAATAAGTGGGTTTTGGAAAATGTGTGAAAAAGTCGGGTGTTAGTACAATATTAAGGGTAAAGCTCTAGAAGCTATTTTACTACATAGGTGAAGACAAGATAAACTAACTAGTAACAAAGACCACAACTGCATGTTGGATTAGATTGCCTCATATTCCAGAATAAAATGTACTGTGTACTTTTCCTCACTTTGTTGTGCACTGTAATGAAATGTGAAAAACTTTAGCTGTATGTGAATGAAAATATGCTTGTATTTAGTAAAATGGTTGATTATGTGACTGTGAGATTCCAAGTGTGTGTTGTAGCTATTTCCAGAGGAGTCTGTCCCTACAGTGTAGCAACTGCTACCAAGAACATCAGGTAGGTGGGACATACGCACAACAGTATTCACCAATATCTTAAAGCCAGAAAGTTACAGGATAATCATGTTGAAAGTCACAGAGACCTCACTAATGCCTGGAAATGCCATATGACCTTTGCAAACATTTGTTCTGTGAAGCCTAAATATGAATCATTGCAAATTTTAGTCAAGGGTTTTTTGTTTAAATTTTAACTATTTTTATTAAATAGCTCCTAAAAATTGGGGGGGGGTTGTTTTTTAATTAAAGTATAGTTGATTCACAATATTATACTCATTTCAGATGTATAAAATAGTGACTCAGTATTTTTATAAACTATACTCCATTTAAAGTTATTACAAAATATTGGCTATATCCCCCATGCTGTATAATATATCCCTGTAGCTTATTTATTTTATACATAGTAGTTTGTCCCTCTTAATCCTCTACCCCATCATGCCTCTTCTTTCTCCCTGCTAGGAACTACTGATTTGTTTTCTATATCCATGAGTCTGCTTCTGTTTTGTTATATTCAGCAGTTTATTGTATTTTTTAGATTCCACATGCAGGTGATATATTTGTCTTTCTCTGTCTGACTTACTTCACTTTGGTATGAAAATCTCTAGATCCATCCATGTTTCTGCAAATGGCACAATTTTGTTCCTTTTCATGGCTGTGTAATATTCCACTATATATATATATATATATATATAACATATCATATATATATATCTCACATCTTGTTTGTCTATTTATCTGTTGATGGCCACTTACATTGCTTCCATGGTTTGGGTATTGTACATAGTGCTGCTGTGAACACTGGGGTGCGTGTATCTTTTGAAATTAGAGGTTTTATTTGCTTCAGATAGATGCCGTGTAGCTTATTACAATTGTTTTCCTTAGAAAGTCTTCTTTTCTCAAGGCTACATTGCTTTTGTCTTTTCAAGTACTACTAAGGTGTGCAGTTTGTGTCAGAATCACTTGCAGTATGGAGCCCAGGTCACACCACAGGAGTTCCATACACTGCCTAGGGTTTATAGCACATATTTGGTGGCGGAGTTAAAAAAAAAAGGGAAGCCCTTCCCAATAGCTCAACAGTAAAGACGCCACCTGCAATGCAGGAGACACAGGTTCTATCTCTGGGTTTGGAAGATACCCTGGAGAAGGGAATGGCAACCCACTCCAGTGTTCTTGCTTGGAGAATCCCATGGACAGAGGAGCCTGGCAGACTACAGTCCATGACATCACAAAGAGTAGGATACAAATGAGCAACTGAACACACATGTGAAAAAAGGGAAAATGTTTGATTCAGAGTCTGGCCATAAGCTTTCACTTTTATAATCATGAGTGAATGAGGGAGGTAGGGAGGGCAGGGAGAAAGGAGGGAGGGAAAGACCAAAAATGCAATATCATTCAGTTACATGACTGTAAATATCATCTGTCAGCCAATGAGTCCTGAATTTCTATCTCCAGCTCATCTCTTTCTCCCATGAAGTTTACACGTTTAGAACCAACTGTGTAGCCAACGTCTCCATTTGAATGTCTATTAGGGTCAGAAGTGTAACATGTCACACTGTCATTTGTTGCCAAAGTTGTTGTGATCGCTGATCTCCCTGCTTCCAGAGTCTATTCTCCACACAGCAGCCAGAGGGAGCCTGATAAAACATTTATTATCAGCAATCAGCTGTAATGCCCCAGTGGTTATCCATTTTAGTCAGCTGAAAACCCAAAATATTTCCAGTGGCCTTCAGAAAAACTTTTAAAAATGAAGTTCAACCCCTTTGCATCACCTGTGTGGCCTTGTTCATCAAACACCCCCGGCAGATTCACACCTCAGGGTGTTTGTACTTGCCCTTCACTCAATCTTAGATTCTCTACCTTGAGATGTCTGCATGGATTTCTCCCTGACCTCCATCAGGTTCTGAAACCAACAGCTGCTGAAATCTGCAAGCAGCTTCCTGATCCTAGAGAAGATGTGGCTTGAGATGTTGTTCCTGACAGTGCAACATAGTCTAACTCCTTAGTCTGCCCTGGGAAACAACAAGGTTTAGGGAAAGGGAACTTCAGTTCAGTTCAGTCACTCAGTCATGTCCAACTCTTTGTGACCCCATGGACTGCAGCACCCCATGCCTCCCTGTCCACCACCTACTCACGGAGTCCACCCAAACCCATGTCAATTGAGTCAGTAATGCCGTCCAAACATCTCATCCTCTGTCGTCCCCTTCTCCTCCCGCCTTTAATCTTTCCCAGCATCAGGGTCTTTTCCAATGAGTCAGCTCTTCACATCAGGTGGCCAAAGTATTGGAGTTTCAGCTTCAACATCAGTCCTTCCAATGAACACCCAGGACTGATCTCTTTTAGGATGGATTGGGTGGATCTCCTTGCAGTCCCAGGGACTCTCAAGAGTCTTCTCCAACACCACAGTTCAAAAGCATCAATTTTTCAGTGCTCAGCTTTCTTTATAGTCCAACTCTCACATCCATACATGACTACTGGAAAAACCATAGCCTTGACTAGACAGACC